TGTTAATTAATATATAATATGAATCTATGCAGTAGCTTACTGTAATAATTGTTGCCAATAATATCATAATTATAATATTTTATTTATGCCCATGTATTTTTTTTCGTTATGCATTAACAATTTGTATATAGATTATTAATGTAAAGTGAAGTGTTCCTCAAAGTATTCAGATTGTAGAATTGCTATATATGGGTAGAATGATAATTTTCTACAGCTGACACCAATATTTATTATAATACTTTCATATTTAATGCTTGCATGAAGCCATATTGTCATAAGAAATACTAAAATGAAAAGAACTGAAATAATGTGCAATTAGGGGGAGGGGAGATTCTGGATTCTGCATGAGTAGAGATGTGCATTATTAAGAAACCTACCATTTATAAAACATAGATGATTCCAACACCCGTATCTGCGATGCAGACCTCAGCTCCAGCTGTACGGTATGCACGTAACCAGAATCGTCATGACAATAATCGACGGCGTGAGAGAGAATCTGGTCCACCAGTTACTGTGTTTATTGGTAACATTATGGACCGAGCACCAGATGTGATGATTCGACATATCCTGGGTGCATGTGGCCATGTTCTTTCATGGAAGAGAGTCCAAGCATTTGGATTTTGTGAATATGCAGGTCCTGATGCAGGTCTTAGAGCAGTTAGACTACTTCACGACATGGAAATAGGCACCAAAAAGCTTGTTGTGAAAGTCGATGCAAAAGCTAAAGTTGTTCTGGATCAATTTAAAGGTAACATTAAGATTATAAAAAATTGTAGTAATTCCATAGATGTATCACGAAATATATTTTTATACATTACTTTGGTTTATTATAGCGGAAAGGAGAAAAAAATTAAGAGGGGGTCAGTCTCCTTTACAGGATGAAACTTCTACAGAAGGTACAGAAGGAGAAGAAGGCGAAGATTATATGGACGAAGGTATGAGAGTAGTGGATGCAGATGCACTAGCCCGTATAAATCAAATCATAGCCGAACATGCTGCCGATTTGGAAATGGCTCAAGTTGCCCCTGGTAATATATTTACACTCTCACAATATCCTTCAAAACTAGTTAAGAAACTAGTTAAATGTGTTTGTGTTATATGTAACAGAGGAACATCAAACAAAAATGGTTGCAAAGTCGTTGAACTTGGATGACGCAGAAATAGAAGAAAGTAAAAGAGACTTGATTACACGGGAAATTGGAAAATTCAGGGAGGTCATGAAGGTAATTATTTTTACATTTATTTTTCTTCTTATATCACACCTATTTCTCTGCCCTTCTTTCTGGTCATATTGTCGGATGTGATATACCAAAATCTTAGAAGGTATTCTGAATTGTGGTCCGTTAGGATTGGGTATTAAATTTGAAAAATTTAGGTTTACAGATGTTAGGAATTATTATAGCTGTTGTCACCAATCATATGATTTTTTTTTCTTAAGCATTATAAACATTATTCTACAACATATCGGAAAAGATCTATTTATTTTTATACAATTTTCTTGTACTC